GCCCCCCCCCCCCCCCCTGCCCCCCAGTTCTGGCGTCCCTGCTCTACAGTCATGCTATCCCTGATGACTGGAAGTTGGCCTTAATTACACCAGTTCACAAAAAAGGAGAAAAGGACTCCCCAAAAACCTACCGCCCAATATCACTTACCTGCGTATGCAGTAAGCTGATGGAACATATCATAACATCTAACATGACGGCACACTTCGAGCTACACAATGTCCTCTACCAGCTGCAACATGGCTTTAGACCCGTCCATCTTGTGAGACACAGTTGCTTGAGCTTACAACAACTCTTCAAGCAAACCTTAACGCGAGAGCGCAGACAGATCTTGTAATCATATATGGACTTTTCAAAGGACTTTGACAAGGTCTGCCATAACAAGCTCCTAGCAAAACTGAACTTCTACGGTGCACGAAGTGATATTTTGCATTGGATATCGTGCTTCCTTGATAGTCGTCAGCAGTGCGTTGCAGTCGATGGAGAACAGTCCCCATACCCCCCAGTCCTCTCCGATGTTCCTCAAGGCTCCGTTATTGGCCCAATCTTGTTCCTTGTGTACATAAACGATCTTCCGGAATACGTTCAATCCAATGTACATCTTTTTGCTGACGACACAATTATGTATCTGGCAATTCACTCGGAAGATCAGTGCGCTCAACTACAATCAGACCTAGACAACCTACAATCATGGGAGAATGATTGGTTAATGGAGTTTAACCCAGACAAATGTGAAGTCCTACGAGTAACGCGCAAGAAATCAATGATACATCATGACTATACTCTTCACGGCAAAGTCCTCAGGTCCGTCACAAGTGCCAGGTATCTTGGAGTATAATTATCACACGATTTAAAGTGGAACTCTTACATCAGCAATGTTACTGACAAAGGAAAAGAAATCTGAGGGTAAAAAATCGTGAACTCAAGCAAAAGGCATATGTTAGCCTTGTACGCCCCCAGCTAGAGTACTGCTGCAGCGTTTGGGATTCCCGACGCGGAGTTGAAAACAACGGTTCATACAGAGTGGAGATGATTCCTTCAAATGTCGGATCATCCAAATCAACAGTAAACTGGTTAAGAAGCTACTTAACAGAACGTTTTCAATCTACTCGTATTGACTCCACGTTATGAGATCCATTACCGATAACTTGTGGTGTACCTCAAGGGACTATTTTATTGCACCAGGCAGCTGATATAAACGAACATGATGTCAATATTTCGATCTCTTTTATGGGGTAGATTCTAGAATCTGTTGATTTTACCAAAGATCTAGGACTTCTAATGGACAGTCACCTAAGTTACGATAAGCACATATCGAATCTAGTGTCGTCCTGCCTTTATAAAATGTGCCAGATAAATAGAGTTAAAATAATTTTGACAAGGGAACACTGACAATGATAATCACTTCATTAGTGATTAGTAAACTGCTCTACTGTTCCACTGAATGGTCAAATACAACATGCACTAACATAAAGAAACTTCGATCTATTCAAAACTTTGCATGTAAAATAATTATAATCATAGGATCTAAGAATATGTAGCCTCCTCCTCAGGCCTCTCTATGGGTTCTAGCCTGCGAATGGGTTTTGAAAAAAAAATTTCTGGGAGAGAGGCCTGCCATAAATCGAACAAAATGGACGTGTCAATGTACCTTAGTGGCCGTGTCAATATACCCCACCCTCTAAGTAGGCTTTTGACACTAATTATATATTCAGTTTGAAATCTTCAGACGAGGAGCGAAGCTTGCGAGTATTAAAAACTTCAAAAATATATGTTTTTATATATAAATGCGTCGAGATATTCAAGGTATATGAAAATTAGTTGGTCAATTGAAAGGATTATATATCGCAATGTCTCTCGCGGTCTAAAAACGACGTGCAAATTTTGAATCGCTCGCTCGAAGCAGCCAAATGATTACAATGTATATTTACTCATTTTACTGTATTAGTGAATGTATGGGTTCAGAGTTCCGCTCGATTGTTCAGCCGACAGCCAAGGAACTACAATTTGAGGAAATTATCTGGCATAATTTCGAACGCAAAACGAAGAATGGAACGATAGGAAAGGTATAATTTGTTTAATAAAGGGGGATTATATTAAATTGTATGGTTTTCTGTAATATTATTTTGACATGTCTATTTATATGAAGGGGTTGGCAATTTGATTATATTTTACTAATTTTAGTCAAATCATCAGACGTTTGGCAACATATTAAGTGAATTGATATATAAAAGGAAAAGATCTTTCTGTTGAAGCAATCATTTCAATAAGTGAGGAGAGATAACAACTTGGAATGATCAACTACAGAAATTTGATTACTACAAAAATCAAGATTTTGTTGGCATCTTAAGCCTGGTTTACATATGCCTGCATTATCATTGTTTACAGCTGTTGATGCATACATTCTTTTGTGAATTATTTAGTTGAACTTTTAACGACAATAGCCCATCAACAAACAGCAGGTATATGTGAACCAGGCTTCACTTGGTTGAATAGTTAATTGGAACTCCCTCACCCCCTTAATATCATGTGAATATGCTAAACCCGTTAAGTTGCATTGTGACACATGTAACAACCTCTTTCTAATATAGTTTATGCCTAGTTGTGTTACACGTACTGGCCACATGACATCCATGATTTGATAAATAAAGAAATTTATGATGTATCTGCATATTCTCTAATTATATGTATCTCCCTTGTTCATGTTTAAATAAAATTGCTCTTGACATATATTTGTTTTAAATATAGTAAATCTAGATCGGCATGTATCATTTAAGAGCCTACAATACCAGGGGCCCACAACAAGTTCTTGTTGGTCTCATCCCTTGCCGTGCCGCCCCTGCTTTTACTCTGTCTAACATCAGACAATTTTACTATTCTAGGGGAGAGTGCAGACAATGAGTTAATTTAAAGCTTACCAAGTTTATCATGATTGTTGTAGCCACCATTGAAAGACTTTTGGGTGGTTGTAGTGTAACAATTAATAGCAAAACATGCAGAAATGGATTTACTGGGGGGGCACTCCCCCATCCCTAGCCCTGGCCATGGGGGGGGTGTGTGCTATTTTTCATGATAAAGCAAAAAATATTAGAGACGAAATGAGATATTGTACAGTGTACGCAGTACACTGGTATACCGCTTGGAGGTTGTTTTGCAAATTGTCAGAATACTGCTGTTGCTGTATGTTAATGGACGGGCTGCACACATGACGACACAACTCGAGTCACTCAACACCAGAGCTGGCAGAGCACCCCCCTACCAGATCATGCTGGATCCATCCCTGAAAACACGTCTATCACTGGGAAGATTCCTCAGTGACTGTTTTTTTTTGGTTTTTTTTTGGTTTTTTTAATATATAATATAATAATTTAATTCACCACTAACATCGTTTACACACCGAGTACAATGACTACATGTACACACTATTTACAAACAAAACAATATTTGGCCAGGTGGTTGTGACTATATATATATATTTATACAATAGTGTATGTTTACTATATGTTAGTAGCAAGGAAGCCCAATAGAGAAACCATTTCGGCTTATTTGATATTAAGCTTCCTTAAGAGACTATATGAATATGGAAAAAAGGTCAGTAATTTATCAGATAATATAAGCTATTTATTAGATCTTAATTGATAATTGACATATTAATTATACAAAATAAAATACAATCATTATATACACAAATTGAAGATAGTTAGAATGAATTTGATCATAAAGAAACATTTGTACATAACAAAGTAATTTCAAGTTCAATTATTAATAAGATAGAATTTAAGCTTTGCTTTAAATGAATGGATAGAAAAACAGTTCAATAATTCCGGAGAAAGAGAATTATAATATTTTGGACCCTGAAATTGTATGGAAAATTTTCTAATGTTTAATCTACACAGAGGAAGGCGGAATTTATTCAACGATCTAATATTGTAAGAATGCACCTGATAATTTAAAGTAAACATGTTTTCAAATTTTCTTGGCAACATCGATCGATTATACGAAAACATAAATAAACCTAGTTGCAAGAAATGAATTTGCGCGAATTTCAAAATTTTGAGTTCTTTAAAAATAGGATCAGTATGAGCATCATACGTGGCCCCATTCAAGATTCTGATGACTCGTTTTTGGAGAATTTCAATACGATGTAGGTTGGATTTATAAGTTGAAGCCCAAACAATATTACAATAAAATAAATATGGATAAATCATTGAATAATATAATGATCGTAGTAAGGGTTTAGAAAGATAAAAACTTGACTTATAAATTATTCCCACTGATTTTGAAATTTTATTTTCAATGTAAGAGATATGAGGTTTCCAAGACAAAAATTCATCTAATATTACACCTAGGAATAACGTTTCTTTAGTCTGCTCAATTCGGTGGTTATCTATATAGAGTATAAAGTTAAAGTTATCCTGGTTCGTTCGAGTTTTAAAA